TTTCTTTCCATCTGCTAACTTTAGGTTTGGATTGTTCTTGTTTTTCTAGGTCTTTAAGGTGCATTGTTAGGTTGTTCACTTGCCGGCCGGCTCCGCCCCCACCCGAGAAAATGGAGGCAGCGCTGGTGCCAGTGCCTAGCCTGGTGTGGTAGTTGGGAGCTGGACGGGTGTCTGCCCTGCAAGCGGGGCTGGGCTGGGGGTCACTCACAGAGCTCACAGAGTTAAAAGCCGGTTTTTTTTTTTTTTTTTTTGCTACTGAGTTATTTGAGTTCCTTATACATTTTCTTTATATATTTTGTATATTAACCTCTTATCAGATGTGTGGTTTGCAGATATTTTCTCCCATTCTGTAGGTTGTTTCTTCACTCTGTTGATTGTTTCCTTTGCTGTGCAGAAGCTTTTTAGTTTGATGTAATCCCATTTGTCTATTTTTGCTACTATTACCTATGCTTTTGAAGTCATATCCAAAAAATCATTGCCCAGACCAAGGTCAAGGAGTTTTTCCCCTATGTTTTCTTCTAACAGTTTCATAGTTTCAGGTCTTACATTTAAATCTTTAATACATTTTGAGTTGATTTTTGCATATGGTGTGAGATAAGTATCTAATTTCATTCTTTTGCATGTGGATATCCAGTTTTCCCGGCACCATTTATTGAAGAGATTGTCTTTTCCCCGTTGTGTATTCTTGGCACCTTTGTCAAAAATCAGTTGGCTGTAAATGCATGGATTTACTTCTGTGCTCTCTATTCTGTTCTATTGGTTTATGTGTCTGTTTTTATGTCAGTACCATGCTATTTGGGTTACTGTAGCTTTGTAGTATATTGTGAAGTCATAGAGTGTGATTTGTACAGCTTTTTTCTTTTTCCTTAAGATTGCTTAGGCTATTTGGGGTTTTTTTTTTGTGGTTGTGTAGAAATTCTATTGTTATTTTTCTATTTCTGTGAAGAATGTCATTGGTATTTTGATGGGGATTGCATTGAATCTGATCCTCGAAGTCAGTGTTTGAGTCACCAGATCAACATTTTTGCAGAATAGTCTTCTTGTGAAATCTAGCCTCTTGATATGATTACTACCAAGGAAAGCACCGGGGTTTTGGTTATGTTTCTCATTAAGGGCTTATGTGTGAGCAATTGTATCCTACTTTCTTTTTATCTATCAGCCTTTAAAAAATCCTTTCTCCTGCAAAAATGTGGTATAAAGATATCATTTACAATTGATGAAACTTTGTTAAGTAACATCACCTATCACTTTGGTAGAACTTTTTGGGTAGTTTCTACTTTCTCATCCAAAAATTTGACAACCTAACTGTGATCATTTACTTCTTCTTTTCAGACAGTTTTGAGATAGCTGTGCAATCAGATAGTCACACGGTCTCAGAACCTGGAAAAGACATCACACTCACCTGTCAGTTTCAAATGAAAGGGCCAATGCAACAGGTTACATGGGAAAAGATCCAGCCCTATCAAATTGACCTCTTAACCTGCTGCAACTTGTCCCAAGGAAGAAGTTATGCCTCCAGGTACCAAAGACAAATATTGACCAACTGTAGCCAGGGAGGGAGAAGGAGCTTCATTGTCATTCCCCAAGCCACTACCTCTGACTCAGGACTTTACCGCTGCTGCTTTGAGGCCACCACAGGAGAAAATGAAACCTTTGTGATGAGATTGACCATAACTGATGGTGAGTACCAGACGTCTTCAAGCATCAAAAATGGAAGAAGCCAACCACCGTAAATTGGTCTGGTTGTTTCTGGTAAACACATTCATTTAATGTGACAATTGTTCAAAACAGTAAAAAAAACTTTTGTTATTTTAAAATTTAATTGTCCATAATTGTGGGGTTACAGTGTATTGTTTCAATCCATGCATATGTTATATAATGATTCACTTAAGGTAGATAACATATCCATCCCCTGATCATTTATCTTTTCTTTGTTGTGATTATGGTAGAATTTAGGTAAGTTGACCATAATAAAATTTCAGTATTTGGTTCTTCTTTATTTTGCTAATCCATCAATCACAAATTTAACAATAAAAACCTTTCCTGTTTTATCTGCCACACTACTGAAATTAAAAAAAAAATTCAGCTATAGTCCGAAAAACACATGGTATTACCAGCCTGTCTGTTTCAGCTATATAAATCCTATCTTCACAATTACATTAAAATTTTTGATGGTGATGACAAGGTATTATAATCCCCATGTATCCCCAGCAATAACGCTGAATCAGTGTTGTTGAGTGGAAATCAATAGGAGCTCGGTGTCTGGTTGTCAGCATGCCAGATCAAAGCTTGTTTCCCTCAGTCATTTTCAGCCCTGGGTGCAGAAACAGACTGACCTTGAAGCTAATGAAGCTGACTTTCAGGATCTCCACCTGAGCAGGTGCCTTCCAAGGCACTGCACTAGTTTTGTATGAGTCATTTGTCTCCTTTGCCGTAATGAAGCCCTAAATTGTGTAAGCTTCAGGCCCTGTGATACCTGGATCCACCCTTGTAGGACAGAAGTGCACATAGAGAGAGGCCCCATGTAGAGGTCTGTATCACAGTTGAGGAGGAGGAGAAAAATCTCAGGCTGTGCCCATTCTGCCTCTGGGCAAGCTTTCCCACTGCCCAGGGACAGTCAGAGAAAATAATTTATTTTTACTGGTGACAGAAATTTTATTTCACTCTGGTCTCCTTCCCTCCCTCCCTTCCTTCTGTCTTTTTTCTTCCTTTCTTTCATATGCCCTCAGCTAGTTTATTTTCCTTGGCTTGTGTTTAGACTTTCAGAGTCATGGCTTCCTGGGCTTCAGCTGTCCCTTCACAGGCTCCGCTTATAGTACAGACTGGTACTTCTTCCTGCATTGGAAATGAAGAAGAAAAGGTTTTGTGCAAAGGGCAGCCTCCACTGCCGCCGTCGCAGCAGTGTGTGTAATAAGGAGGGCATTTGCCAGAGGACAGCAGTTTTTCATACACAATCACCTTGGATCACATCAAGCCTCTTTGTTCCTCTTAATAACAGTAGGAGCTGTGAGTGAGACAGACATTGGACTTAGAACTTAATGGAAAAGAGCCATTGATGGAGTATTTTGGGGAGGACAAATGAGCAGAGATTCCTCACCTTAAATGTTGACTCTGTTCCTTCAGACATAAACAGAAAATATTTCATACCTAAAAAAAAACTTGCATTATGGAAGTGTTTTTTGAACCTGGCCAGAAAAAAAAAAAAGAGTAAAAACAGACACTAACCTTTTCTTACAGACCAGGGCAAGAAAATGTTCTATTCAGAAAAAATATCATAAAGAAGCATTTTCAAACACATATGAAATAAGATCTTGTCCATTATATGCTGAAAAAGTAATTATAAACACCCTAAAGTATAGAGAAGATGGAGGCAATAGATATTTAACGTTTATTAATTAATAAAAATGGTATAGTATTTTTTTTTTTTTTTGTCTTTTTGTCTTTTTTCCGTGTCCGGCAACGGATCGCAACCCTCAGTGTTGCCCCCGTACCGGACCGGGGACCGGCAACGGGATCGCAAGCCTCGGTGTTGCTCCCGCGCCTCGCTCAGCCAGTGAGCGGGAACCGGTCTGTATGTGGGATCCGAACCCTCGGACGGGAGCGCCGCTGCACTTCCCAAGCAGCGCACTATCCAGTGCGCCACCGGGCCGGCCCTGGTATAGTATTTTTAACTATATAGTTATATAATGCTTATAGGTATAGTTATTTAACGCTTATTAATTAATAAAAATGTCTTTCATTTGCCCATGCATGACTAAGTTTCTTGCACGAAACTATTTTCTTTGTACATAAATGACAAGCAGTGTCAAAAATCTGCCAATGAAATGAGGGTGACTGAATGTAATGGTCAGTATTGTTAGTGTCCATGTATTTTGAACAGTTGCAAAATGGTTTTTTGACATTCAGTCGACAAATTGAAAGAATATCAACTGGACCTCACGTCCATTGGTAAAAAGTCATAATTGACAGAAAATGAAAGCCATTGACTGTATGTTTTCGCTTAATTCCTTTTTTCAATTATTCTAAGTAAAGATTGAAAATAAAAACTCAGACGGAAAGCAAAATAGATCATTTGTGTGTCCTTTGATGCAATTTTATTATTTCAAGTCTTGAGGCTGCTTGGTTAAAAATCAATGCAGAGATTAAAGCGGAGAGACAGGTATAAGACGTGGAGCAGATTTAATTTATTTCGACTGTCAAGAGAGAGGTGATTGTGAGACAAATTTTATAAACTGCCATACATTCTTTTGTTAGTTCCCATCAAATTCTTTTATAGGACATACTATTGAATCCAAAAGAGAGATTTTTAGGACTCTCATATTCTATGCACACGTGCACAGACACACACACAGGAGCTCTTTCCCTGGCTTTTGCCTGCCTGCATTCATCTTCAGGGAAGTATCAGGTAGTCAGAGGCCACCCAACATGTGAGACAATGCCAAATAATACATCACATGTCTGGGCCTTAATATGTTTTGGACAGGGGGAACAAAATGGCAGAAGCATGAATTCAACCCAAATTTACCATTAACCTTATTTGCTGAATAAAAAGAAATACTTGTTTCCTGTCCTTTGCACTCATAACCTGGGAAGCAGTATGAGATACTTCCAGATAGACTTTTCTGAATTCGAAACTTGTGTAGTCCACGGGAGCAAGAATCAAGGGAAAATGTGTTTTTATTGACAGTGGCCAAAATTATTTTGGGCCCTCAATATCTTCTGAATTTTCAGTAGTCATGAGAGAAGTATTTTAGGTGTCACCAGAAGAGTCTGTGAAGTCTTTTAATATTAACTAAATGATGTGTTGACTACTGTTGTTTAAACTGAGCTTATCTATTATAGAAAGAGTGAGGACAAAAGAAATGAAATCAGCTTTCTCAGAAAATTTCAGAGGACACCTGTTTTTAACAAACTTCTGTTTGCCATTGGTGAGTGTAATTACTCATGTCCCCCTACAATCTTCTCCCACCAACAAGGCCACTCAACGGAACCACCAAGCTTCTTTTTCCCCCCCAGTATTTCATACATTTTTTAAAAAATATTTTAATGTCGATTGATAAGGAATAAGTTAAACACAAAAATTAACATCCTTAATGAAAAAAGAACTCTAAAAATGAATTAGAAAAATCTAAGCAGAAACTTAATGAAGGACATGAGCAGATAAGTTACACACCCTATAGAAACACCCGTGTCTAATAAGTACACTTGGAGTTGTTGTTGCAGGGGATGGGGAGGGGGAAAGGAGGGGCAGGTAAGGCCCTTGGCCCCTCGTCTTAGGACCTTGGGGTATCTGGTCACCAAGTTTCAAATGAGGCTTTGAGGAAAGAGGACAAAAGAGGTTATGGGGAGTAACACAAAATACACACCGGGCAATGGAGAGACGGTGGGGTGACTGCTATCAGATGACTGGGCTGGTACGGAGAGTGTGAGTTACGGATTAATATAGAAAGAGGCAGGTTAAATTAGGTGATAATGTGGTGAAGTTCTAAATCTCGCATAACAGTCAATGAAAGCCAGTATTGGTTGGTTCTTGAGCACAGATGGCAAAATAGTATTCAAGGAAGAATAAGTTTCTTTATAATTTTTAGTGTTCACCTCTTTGCTTGAGTTTATTCCTAAGTTTTTAATTCTATATGTTGCTATTGTGAATGGGATCTTTTTACAGGAATTTATTTACTTTTAATTGAAATGTATTGATTGTACACATTTATGGGGTACACAGTTGTACTTCAATTCTTGTATGCAATGTGTGATGGTCAAATCAGGTAGTTAGCATTTTCATCATAGTAAAAATTTATCATTTCTTTATGATGAGGACATTTGAGCTCCTCTCTTCTAGCTGTTTGAGAATGCACAATAAATTATTGTTAATTATAGATGCCTAGCACCACTGTATAACACTAGAACTTATTTTTCCAATCTAGCTGTAATTTCATACGCATTAACCAACCACTCCTTATCCTCCCCCTCTGCTTCCCAGCCTCCAGTAACCACAGTACTACTCTCTACTATTGAAAGTTCAACTTTTCTTTTTCTTTTCTATAAAAAATTAAAGGAAAAAAAAAAAAAAAAAAAAGTTCAACCTTTTTTTTTTTTTAGCTCCCACACATAAGTGAGAACATGCAGTATTTATCTTTCTGTGCCTGGCTTATTTCACTTAATGTCTTTCAAGCTCATCTGTGTTCCCACAAATGACAGAATTTCATTCATTCTCCATGGCTGAATAGTATTCCATTGTGGGATATTTGCTACATTTTCTTTATCCATTTATCTGTTAATGTCTTTCAAGCTCATCTGTGTTCCCACAAATGACAGAATTTCATTCATTCTCCATGGCTCAATAGTATTCCATTGTGGGATATTTGCTACATTTTCTTTATCCATTTATCTGTTGATGGACACCAACAGTGTATGAGTTCCCTTTTCTCTGTATCCTTGCCAGCATTTATTATTTTTTTATCTTTTTGGTAGTAGCCATTCTAACCGGAGTGAGATGATATCTCATTGTGGTTTTGGTTTGTATTTCCCCAATGATTAGTGGTATTGAGCATTTTTTCATATACCTATTGGCCATTTATATGTTTTCTTTTGAGAAATGTCTATTCAGGCCATTTGCTTATTTTCTTAATTGGGTTTTTTTGGTTTTTGGTATTTTTTGCTGTTAAGTTGTTCCAGTTTCT